TATTGTGATAATTAAGCTGTTCGACATATTGCTCCTAATCCAGTTTTTCATGAACGCACTAAGCATATTGAAGTTGATTGTCATAGTGTTCGTGCGAAATTACAAGCTAGAATTCTTTGACCATTACCCATATCATCCTCCCACCAAGTTGTTGATCTCCTTACGAAGGCTTAGGGCACAGATCGCCTCTCTTTTCTTCTTAGCAAGCTAGGCATTCGAAATCTTCATGCCTCCGCTTGAAGGGGAGTATTGGAATTGAAATTTACAGATTCACTTTCCTTGTAAATTTAGTTAAGTTATTGTATCATATCCCTAAACTTTAGGCTTAAGTTTCTCTTGTAAATGTTGTATTTAAACTCTTTTACACTTCAATGAGATTGAGATAGCCAAACTTTGACAATTTTTAATATTAAAATTGTTTTTTATTTAATAATTTTTATTTTATTATATGATAAAATAGAGAATTATCCAAGATAAAACAAATGGTGTTTTCTCCCTTAAAAAAATGGGAAAAAGAAAAAGAAAAATGATGCTTTCCTTCTTGTAATTTTTCGCTGCAAAAAGCAGGGCCTGCAACAAGGACATTGGTTTTTCATTTAATAATTTATTTTAAAAACTTTTCAATAAACTATTGTATGTGGGCCAAAAGAAAGAATTATTGTCTATTGGGCCAAATACAGCCCATTTTAAATAAATAAGATATAAAGGTCTTTATGTAGGACGCATCTGATGCAATCAACACTTTAAAAATCAAGGGACACTAGCAAATTAATTAATATATCTGAGAAGTTTCTAGAGTTTCAAGTGCGCAAATAAAGCATCAAAACCCCGAAACAGCTGTATCTATCAATAAATAAATATTATTTTTTATGTAGTTTTATGATTTAAGTTTTAAAATTATTATTAAAAATTTAATCTTTTTTAAATTTACTAAGTATATAAATTTGAGAGTATTACTAAAAAAAATTAATTTTAATATTCATAAAAAATGCCCAGAATACACACTAACTATACTAAAAAATAATAATAATAAAGCACCAAAAACATTTATCCCTATATGATTCGAAGGAACCAAATATTTCTTTATTTCTCTCCCCTCTCATTTTTTTTTTTCAATTTTTTTATTAATAAAATAAAGAAAAAATTTCAAAATCTCATTCCCTCCTCCACCTCAGACAAGATAAGTTATTAATAAGAAAAAAATATTAAAAAGTAGTAATGAGTAAAGATTTAGTTAGTCAATCTATATAATCATGCCTTATTTAAATAAGATTATCATGTGTAGTGGGGTTTGATAAGATCTAATTACATTAATGTATATTATATAAATTTTTACATTGCACCTACAACTTTGGCTGCCTTGGTTCAGCCGTTCAAGTGTATTGAACTCCTACCATTTGCTAGAATTCCATCTATTGTAATAGTAGTCAAATTATCCCATTTCCCCACGTTCTCTCATGTTCAAATATATATATATATATATATATAAAGTTTTACATTAATTACATATTGTTTTTATAAAATTTATATTTTATTAGACTAATAGTTAAAATTAATATTCTTCATGTAAATAATGTATTTTAAAATTAAAGGCGATTTGATATATATAATCATAGAAAAAATTATATTTTTATATTATGCATTTAAGGTATTTCTTAAATTATCTTTTATTTAAAAATAGATTAATATAGTTAATTAATTTAAAGTTTAACATGAATGATATAGTAATACATGACCCAAAAAATTAGTGATAGATATAAAAATTAGTATAAATTATACAAAAAATTATTGACGTAATTTTTAATTCAATATATTTTTTATATTTATTTGATTTAATTATTAAAATATAATATAATTAAATACAATCGATTCAGTTGATTTTTACATACTATATGTATAACTATATTTTTAAGTTTTTTTGAAATGACAAAAATAAATTATTAATGAAGTACAAATAATATTCTAAATCCATGAACTTTTAAGCATGTAAATTTTCTTCTTTTGTGCATCATTTACATTGATCTTATTCCCATTTCCAACCCAAGCCCTTTTAAATGTCTTTGAGGAGTGCTAGGGGCACTCGCCTTCTGCACTCTCCGCTCAACACTTTCACTTTTATTGGGCCACGTTAGAGTGGTCAGTAAAAGGTCGCCTTCAAAGCTGAAACAAGCTTACGTGGCCAAATGAAAAGGGAAGTGTTGGCCGGAGAGTGCAAGAGGCGAGTGACCCTAGCACTGCTATTTGTCTTTATACTTAGCTCAAGCATCCCGACAAAAGCTTATTTTTAACTCTCACTTTTTTAAATTTAAAAGTTTTAATTTCTTATTTTATGTGATATTTTTAACTTCTCATTTTATTAAATTTATAGATTTTAACCACAGCTTATATTATGATACTTTTAGTTTACTTATTAAAATTAAAAAAAATAACTCTCACTTTATAATATTTTATTTTATTAATTAACTATTAACTCTATTAATTGACTGTTAGTTATCAAAAACTTTTTTTCAATTAATAAAATTAACAAAATTAATTTTATAATATGTCGTTAATTTTATTAATTAGTTATTAATTAACTGTTAATTGATAAAAATCTCTTTTTAGTTAACAGAATTAATTAACAGAATTAACAGTCAGTATAAAGTAAGGATTTTTTTTTTTAATTTTAATAAATGAAGGACTAAAACTTATAAATCTAATAAAAATTAAAAGTATTATAATATAATATAAGAAACTAAAACTTACAAATTTAATAAGATGAATAATTAAAAAAAGGTTTTTTCCCGCATCCCTTGGGTTCACCAACCACTCTGAAAAAGGAATCATGCCTCTTACCAGCTTATCCTTTGCCCATTGATATAAACATATCTGCACTAAATCAAATGACTTCTCCACCTGCACGGGATTCCTTTTTGAAAACCAAATCATTTCTTGCCGACCATATTGTCCAAAATAAAGCGAATCAGATCTTCTTCTTTTTTCTTTTTTTTTTTTGTATTTTTAAGTTTATTTATTTTTTAATTTTATATCACTAAGTAATAATTTTTTAATAAATATATTTTATAATATATTAAATTAAATGATATATTAATTAGTGTACAAATTATATTAATGTAAAGTAATCATGACTTACAAGAAATCTTAAAATTATAGCGCTCTAGCGAACTCAGATGTCTGGTTCCGTACCTCCTGCCAGCTGAATTGCAGATGAACTGACCACAGCAACATGGGTTCGATCGTGAAATATACCTTACAAGTTTACTTCAAAAGAAATTCCCTAGCTATCATGTACAGTATTTTTTAATTAAACTAAACAATCTGCAGAGACTTGAATTGAAACAGTTTCTCATTTTTTTAGTAGACAGAATTAGACAAGGGGAATATATCCGCTACTTTGAGCACCTGCCCTAATTAATTTAAAGCTATATGTACTCTCACTCATTATATTAATTACAACCTGGGTTCATTGATAATTGAGAAATATAGGGCCTGTCTAGTTGAACCTTCTTCCCGAAAAAGAATTTGGGAAAGCAGACTAAAAATTAACTTGATTGAAACCGGGTTTTTAGACTTAATGGTTTGACTTAAAACCTTAAATACTTGGGTGAGGTGGTGGTCAGAGTTTCGAGCTCTACCACCATCGTAAACTCCACTAAAAAGCAGTTTGATGGCCGTCCACCTCATTTGAAGAGGTAAACACGACCATCTCATTTGAGGAGGTGAAATGTTCATCCGGTCTGGGGATTCAATCCTCAGTTGCTAATAACTAATTCATACTAATTTTTTAACCATTACCCTTGTCAAAAATAATAATAATAACTTGACTAGATAAAAAAATTAAAATTTTTTGTACAAAAATTAAGATGAAGTATAATTGTTTATAATGAAAATGTAAGTAATTATAAGCTAACTTTCCTAATAAATTGTTTTTTGGGCACTAGAAAGTGAGATAATAGATAATATTTTAAAGGAAAATGATATATATACTTTATAAAGTTATACATTTCGTTACATGCTGATGGTTTTCGTTACTTGTGTTGTTAAAACTAACAATTTTCGTTACTCATACTGTTAAAACTGATGATTTTCATTATTTTTACTATTAAAATTAACAATTTCCATTATAAGCTAATGGTTTTCATCAATATATAACAGAATGTAAAACTATACAAGGTGTATGTATCAATGTCTTTTTTAAGAGTAAGTGAATATATTCTTATAATTGCTTACGTAAATTTTTGTAATCAACTATATATCCAATATAATCATTTACATTTCCATTATAATTAACTATACTTTATCTTAATTTGTATGTTAAGAAATTTAATTTCTTTGGTCAAACCAAGCTGACTTTTGGTTGGTTTCCTCAAATTCCTTTTTTGAGAGAAGCTTAAACCAAACAGGTTTATATAACTTCTCAACTTTTCTTGGTGGAAAGGATTAGGTTCTGTTTAGGATAGATGATAAAGAAAAAATGATAACAGTACCTAATTAATAGTTGATAAAATAACTTATATTCATTTGAAATTATTTTATAAATCAATATTTTTAAAGACTTTAACTAATTTTTTTCTTTTAAAAAATTGTAAATTAATAAAATAAGTTAAACCAAACATACTCTTACTCTTTTGCTGCAGCCAGCTTTGAATAAACTTCATTTTTTTGGACCCATTTACTTTAAGGATTTTTCTAATGTTAGGTATTAAT